GGATCTCCCTCCAATTAATGCTCCTCCTACATTCAATTCCCAATGTAAATCAGGGGAATGTGGATTATGGAGTCCTGTGTAAAATCATATCAAATAAAATGTATAATGTGTTTTAGTCAAAACACAATTGCCCTGTTTAGTAAATTACTGTTAGCTGATTGAGTTAATTAAAAAATATAACTAATTGATAACATTAGTTAATTGTAGAAAGGTATTTGATAAATTAGATGTATGTTAGATGATAGTTGTTTGGTATAGCATTTTGGAGTACAAAAAGATGATTGAAAAAGTTGTTTTTATTAGCTTTTTGAATTTTAGCATTTTGGAATACAAAAAAATAATTAACCAAACACTTATATTGATTTTTAAACCAAGTCAAACAACTAATAGTTGTCAAATAAACCAAAATTTACCTATAAGCTAACTATTTTACCAAACATTGCCTATATTTTTTATGATTCCATTAAAAAAAATATTTTAATTAACAAGTATTATGTGTTTCATATGGGTGTCTTGTACAAAACCTATTTTAGAAATACATCTCCCTCTAACCCTATATATATATATATATATATATATATATGTATGTATGTATGTATCTAATGTTTTGAAGGAAAATATAAAGGGCATTGCTAAATCAACAAAAAAAAAAAGTTGACTTTTTTTTTCAGTTTCCTTAGACAGTCGACTAGCAACTACACATCGCAACTAATCTTGTTTGTGCCTGGTAAGACCCTCAAAGGTGGCAAAGCACTCCTTCACTGATAATATAAAGTACATTGCTAAATCAACCAAAAAAATTATATATAGTTAAAATTGAAAATGATATATATATATATATATATATATATATATATATATATATATATATATATATATATATATATATATATATGGAAGGGTTCAGGTGCGGGTATAGCTTCCCGTGCGGTTGACGCAGCGCACCTTAGGCATTAAAATGGTGCATCATAAGTACACAAACCACGCACCTTAAGAACACAAACCACGCACACATAAAGCTTTAGGCCAACGCACATTAAGTACACAAATCACACACCTTAAGTACACAAACCACGTACCTTAAGAACACAAACCACGCACCTAAGGTTTTAAAATGACGCACATTAAGTTTCAACAACCCACGCACCTTAAGCATACAAATCACGCACCTTAAGAAGGAAAATCACGCACCTTAAGCTTCAAGTTGACACACCTTAAGTTTCAACAACTACTCACATTAAGCACACAAACCACACACCTTAAGCACAAAAATCACGCATCTTAAGAAGAAAAACCATACACCTTAAATTTGACCTAAATGCAAAAATTACCAAATTGTCACCGTGTTTTTTTTTAAATGGAAAATGACACTTTTTCCCCATGTGTTATATACCTATAGCATTTTTTCCCCCTAAATTATTGAAGTGGCTGTTTTTCCCCCTGAAAATGTTAAATGGACATATTTACCCTTAAACTAAATATTTAATTTATTTTTTTTCTCCAACAAATTATGACCATAATTTGGATCAAACCAAACAAACACAATAGCAACCAAACCGAAATATTCCAATTACAATTTAGAATCGAAATTCGATATTTAGAGTTTATTAAAATCGTGAACCGGAACGGACGGTTCATATTCCGAACTGAAAAAATAAAATACATTTATTGTTGAATTTACACTATTTTAAAATAAAAAATAAAATTTTAAAATAAAGACGGTTCAAAATCGCGAATCGAATCTGGAACCGCCGGTTCACGGTTCAAGATTCAATTTTTTTGATACATAATTTTAATAAATTGACATTTAAATATTGTGTTCTAGATTTGAATTATAACCGAAAGCTATTAATTCGATTGCTTTAGTATCCGGTTCAATTCAAACCGATCCGTGGTCATCCCTACGTATACGCAATAATTTGTTGGAGTAGTAAAATAAATAAAATGTTTACTTTAAGGGTATAAATGTCAATTTAATATATCATGGGGAAAAAACACCACTTTTAGAATAATTGAGGGGACTAATGTGCTTACCTAAATAATTGAGGGGGAAAAAATGCTATAAGTATATAACTTAGGGGCAAAAAGTGTCATTTTCCCTTTTTAAAATTTTGTTAATCTTAGACGTTGATTTTGACAAGATTAAGGGCTCTTCTCTCACCACACAACCGCATATGGACGCACCAACCACATTTAAATCTAATTATATTTTTAAAAAATCAAAATATAGTAGGGTCCATCCACTCTATATAAAAAAGATTAAAATGTATTTCTATTTAACAAAATTTTAACATTTTGTTAAAGGATAAAAAATAACCATGTCATAATAATATTAGGACCAAGGTATAAATGGTATATATGCGTATAGCAAAATGTTATAATCTTGAGCAAACGTAAAACATGGTATTGGGAAGAATAATTTTTAGAAAAAATTAATTTATTCCTCCCTCTGACAAGGAAAAAGGTCAAGAAAGAATCATGTTTTCACACGTCACTAAAACACTTTTGCTTATTTTGCCAAAAATCGACAATATGTTATAGTATTTAGTAATGTTACCAAAAAGTTGTTGATATGTTTAAATTTTGATAAAAGATTGGATATATATCAAATTGACATAAAAATAGGTTAATATCAAATTTGACTTTAGATTAGAATTATTAAAGATTTGATCTCATCTCGATAGCTGTATAAAAAAAATTATTAAAGAAAATCATACAATGGGACAAGAAAGGTTAAGTGAATGAAAGTAATCATTTTTGGTGATATGTTGCCTAGTAATAAAATAAAATGTTATGAAAGATCTTATAGTCGAGCGACGTAATTGTGATTCTTCTAAATGAGAGGTCAAAAGTTTAAATATGAGACATTGATTTTTTGTAAAAAGTATATATAAATAAATTTTATTATAAAGACATTGAGATATTATATTCTGAAAGAGTCTATAGCCCTATTGAGGGCATGTTTGAATTATGACAAAGTATATATAAAACCTGTGGTCTTAGGGGTATGTGTGAACATAATATGTTTTCCTTAATTTCTATTTTCTTTTAAATTGAGCCTTGTGGACGAAGAAACAAAGCATCACAATCCCCCACCCCCACTCCCACCCGCCACCACCTCCTCACGGCCGTCTCCGTATTCTCATCCGTTAAATCATCGCCAAAATACTATAAAAGCCCTCACTCCTCCTCACTTCTCTCTCGTTGCTTCACTCGTTCCACTTTCTCTCACACACAAACATTCTCTCTCTCTCTCTCTCTCTCTCTCTCGCTCTTCCTCTTCCATTCTCCCGCAGCCCAAACAACCCGGAGTTCAATTCTCTCCGGGCGTTCTTCTTCCGGAACCGAATCGGTCTGCTCGGAGCATTGCTCTGTTTCTTGAGAATGGAATTGGAATCAATGGATCGCCCAGCCCCGAGCCTCAGGGTCAGACCGGAGACGAGGCCGTCTCCGAGGAGGGGGGACGTGAAGATCAGAATTGCTAAGGAGCTGTCGAGTTCGGTGGTGGCGGCGGCGGCGGCGGTCGGAAAGAAAATCTGCGGGGAGGGAAGCTGCCTTCGCCCCAAACAGGTATTTCCATCTGGGCAAACCTCTGATGCTTTGTCTGAGTCTGAGAGATGACTTGTCGTCGTTATTTCGGATTTCGCCACTTCCCAGCTGAACTGAAGAATAGCAGAGAGATTCTCGGACTCTGTTTTCCGGGTTTATGATTTAATACTTCTTTAAAATTCACTACGCATACGGACTAGTATTTATACATAGTGTATACAGTATAATGTTGTATCTTCTTTTTCTTTTTTCTTTTCAACTTGAATTTTTATTTTTTTTAGTCATTTGGATAGTCCAATGATGACACTGTATCTTTCTATCCTTGTAATATTCAGTGTGAAATTAGTTGATTTCTAGTCTGTTTGGTACATAAAGTATTTCTTGTTTTGGAGTTAATGCGGCAGATAAGTCCCCAGTCAAAGTGGATTTCCTTCAATGACGTAAATTTATTATTTATGAATTTTTAAATGCCATATAGGCAACTGGAAAAAGAAAGCCGTATTGTCTGTACTCTGTATTTAAGTTTTTTTTTTTTTTTTTTGTCCTTTTCTTTTTAATGCCTTTCCAACTGTTCTTTGTGATTAACTATTAATCTTGGCAACGTCTGTTGGGAAGAATGTATCGGTGCGTAGAGTCGAATCTAATGGTTTTCCAATTTGATAATGATCATTGACTTTTGTGTCAGTCTATTGGTAAAAGCGATGGATAACTTAACATCCGGAATCCCACATTAATGATTCGGATCCTTATTGATAAATATTTTTTTTTTGGAAATCCTTATTGATAAATATAGAAAAAGATTATTGCACGAGACAATTATCCTATGTATGGATATGTACGAGGTGTGGGCAATAACAACACCGGGGTCCGGGGTTGCAACCTAACAACTCCCTAGAAAATGAAGACCTTGCTTTTCTTGCCTTACTTATCATGCCCCAGCCCGACAGATTGTGCACAAAGAGTCCCATTATTTTGAGAAGTTGCCTCCACACTGCTGCTGATAAAACTCTATCCCGAATCATTATTCCCCAACTTCATCCATGTGACCAACTAAGCTGCCCATTCGGGCATCTGTTCCTATTCACTCACTTGTAAAAACCATTAGCGGTTTCACTCACTGTTGTTGATAGTACTATATATTGGAATTTGGATAAAGACTCGTGTCTTTTAATATAATATATTTTTGTGCTAACGCCGTCATTGTTTGGACCTTCTGGAAACAGCTGGAGATGGTCTATATTTTTATTATATGATGACTTTATTCACTTCCCAACTCGACTTCATTTATAAGTCTTCCTACTAAATAACGGCTTGAATTCATTTACTTGCTATTTATTACTTCTCCCTTACCTAAGCTGGGAGATTCGTCAAAGGGGAGAATCAAACATTCAAACTACCTCTGCCCATCCCCCCAAACCTTTGCTACTTCTGTCTTCCTAAGCAAACCCACATGGCTGGAACATAATAACATTTTGACAATAAAGACCCCCAAGATTATTTTGAAAAATGTTCACAATAGTAATAACAGAAACCGAGATGAGATGAGATCGTCTAACCCTGGAAATTTACTCCTGTGTCCTGTTTATCTGCCACTCCCCATCTTAGATTTTGAAAAGCTTAGCAAACTGCAAGGGATTTTACGGCACATGTAGATGAAGATTTTACACGACTAGGCAGCAGCAATATGCTAGATGGATGGAGAAGATATGTATAATGTTACCTCGAAAAGATTAGAATTTAATGACTTGTTTAGGTTGACTTCCTCGCTTTCCAAGTGCCTTATCCAGAGCGGTATGGAAATCATCAAAAGGTACAAGCTCCATCCTGCAGATTAACATTTTGATGATGCATTGATTTGCATGTGCATTATTATGAGTAATAGTATCAGTAGGCTCCATATAACTGCAGAGCAATTTTCAGGTCTCGAGTAAAAAATTTAACATTCCAACATTCAGCGAGAAGTACACTAAACATCCAGTGAATATATTGCAGTCATTTATATCTAAAATGCAACAGAGAAAACACATCTTTCTCCCTTTAAAAGCTTCCTTGATTAGTTATGATTGAGTGGTCCAAAAAAGTTAATCTAGTTGTCAAATAATCTTCACAATGGGGGAAAAATGCCAAATTGGCAATTGATGTGTATCAATTACTTGAGTCACTAGATATTTCAAGAGAAGGAACTTGAAAAGAATAGAAGAGGAGGGTATGGGGGTTAGCAAGAGTAAGTTGAGAATGCATACTCATAGGTCAATTTCCCATCACGAGCTAGGCCCAAAAGATAATCTATCATGCCATGACACTGTTCTGCTTTATCTGAACTTAACCACTTTTGGAGCCAAAACCCTCTCAAAGAAAGATCCTACAAACATAATATCAAAAGGTGGCAAATGCTTCTTCATAAAGAGCACATGGAACTGAGTTTCTCGAAATTATACTTAAACTATACCTTAAATATAAAAGAACTTGTTGATACAGTTACAGGTTTCTTTGACATACCACCATACGTAACCATAGTTCCACCCTGCCTGAAAAGAGCATGTTAGCCTTTTATATCTGGAAAAGGAAAAAAAGAGTTCAAATTTGGAGTTATCTAACCTCAAGAACTTGAGAACCAAAGAAGCAGCATTTCCGCCAACACAGTTAAACCCCAAAGCAGGTTCAGGTATACTGCCCTATGACACATGAGAGTAAAATGCAATACAGAGTAAATAAAGAGAAAGTATAGTAATTCAAACTTGTCACGGACGTAGATGCCAGTAAAATAAAATGAGACATACAGAACACTTCAACAATTCAGCCATTGAATTAAGATGATGTAAGATACCAGGAGAGTTTTGACATTTTTCACTTCAAGTTGACTCTCAGTAAATACTTCATCTGCACCAAGCTTTATGAGTTTTTCTTTTGCTTCATCTGATCCTGGTCTGTTCATAATGATTGCTTAAACAAGGAAAAACTATGCAACGAGGAAAGCATGCCTGTCATAAATATAAAATAAGGAAAGTTGAATGTGGTGGAAGCTAATTCAAATACCTGTCTCTTAAGATGTTAATACTATGAATGCCTCGAACTCGTGCAAGTTGAATAAGACATTGCCCAACAATGCTTGTGGCACCATTTTGCACAATAGATTCTCCTACACATGCACATAAATCAGAAACTGGAGATCGAAGGGAACACAGTAATAATTGAGGAGAAATGGCAATACCTGATTTTAAAACCACAAAGTCCTCAAGCATTCTCAGGGCAGTCAATGGATTAACAATTACAGTAGCAGCATATTCCATTGGTGTGTTTTTGTCAATTTTGTACCAGAGACTTTGCTCTTTTACAACATATGTCTGCCATGTGCCTGTTAAGAGGAGAAAAAAAATGAACAATTCCTTGCTTGTAAGACCACAAAGCCACATGGAGATCTTTCATGCCATGAAGTATATTGGGAATAGAAATGAATCTCCAGTGGTTAGAATAAAGTGTATAATAAGACTACCATAAAAATCAAGGTATCTACACTCCATTTCAAATATGAAATTCAGTGACATCTCCTAACCTTGGTTCTAGAAGGCCCACCTTGAAATAGTCGACCCAAAAGCTAATGACATAAAACAATACAAAGCATATATAAAAGTCAAACTTCGAACTTTCTACTTTGCCAGAGGAACAGAGTGAGAGAAAAGAAGTACATAAAACTGCACGTTCAATTTCTGAGATCATAAATGAAAGGTCATACCTGAAGTTGGTGGAAAGGCAATAACCCAATCTCCAGGGGAAAGAGACTTTACTGCAGCGCCTATTGCATGAACCTCTCCAACCCCTTCATATCCTCCAACAGCTGGTGGTGATGGCCTCACAGGATATACACCTATGACAATAATTTTTTTACCATATATTACATTCTATAACAAGATTTTTATATGTGAATCATCAATCCGTTATTCATTTCAAAAGGTGGCATAAAAATAAAGAATAATAAGTTCACTATTTATATGGTATAACCTAGAGCTTTTCAGCAACAATAGTTGAATTTAGGCTAAACTAACATATCATTCTACTTAAAACAAAAACTCAACCAAAATTGCTGCAAAGTTATGGAAATCCTGGGAAGTCTCGGGTATGAAATGAGTCGAATGACTATAGCCTACCACTTACAACAGAATGATTGAAACTAAGTTTGTACAAAAATTAAATTACTACACAGACGAAATTGTTCAGAATTTTTAGCTGAGGAGAAGAGGGAGAGAGAACTAAAATGATCAGACCTTCTATTCTGTTAATATCCGATGGATTAATTGGAGCCGCAAGCATTCTAACGCATACGTCGTTATCTTTGATTTCTACTGGCGGAAGCTCAGTAACTCTGCAACACAAACTTATTAGTAGGAGTATAAGAATGTATTCACACATATACTCGTATGTATACTATAAATATATATATATATATATATATACTCCGCGTTATTCTTGTGTATAAGAGCAAATTGAGGTAAAACAAGCAGAAATTTCTGGAATTTGGAATCATAACGTGGGCCAAATTGAACATTATATGCAGGATGAGTGGTACCTGGTGACAGAATCCGGAGGGCCTTGCTGATCGTAGACAATGGCCTTGGAAGGCGGAGACAAGGCCGCAGAAAATGCTCGGATTGTGGAGGTTGCGACGCGAGGACGGTGAAGAAAGGACCGGCATAACTGCGAAGACGGAGTCGCTGCTACGCGGAGGAGGGATTTTAGGGAAAGTAATCCAAGTCTCGCCATTAACAGATGAATTTTTCTCTCTTAAGAATCTAGAGTAGAACGGTGGGACTACTGGTAACTGCGATTTGAAAGCTGGTGGAATAAGTAGAGTGACACTAAAAACATCGTCGTTTTGCCCTCATGATTCTTGACCACCGGCGACGTCCCACAGTCCGGCGTGTTCCCAGGCCGTTTCAGTCCTATTGGGCCAAAGATTGGGCTCTCGGGCTCAATCGCATTCATTCATTTGACTAACTATATAAACACTGACCCCACGTACCCAATCATTCTTCCCAAACACCGACCCCACGTATCCAGGCAAATTATGCCCTGCACCTGTGTCCACAATGCATTGTGGACATGAGTTCAAAACGATGTCGTTTCTAAGAAAAACGTGTCATTTCAGTTTACAAAAAAAATTGATTTTGTCTCGCCGTTAACGGCGTTATTCGTTTGTATCATTATGAATGTACAGTTATGGCATTATGAATGTACAGTTATGACGTTATGAATGTAAGTTATAAAATTATAAACACAGAATTCTGACATTATTAACTTACAATTATGAACATATAGTGATAAAATTATGAACATAGAGCTCTAAAATTGTGAACATGGAGCTTCGAAAATTATGATTTTACACTTACTGAATTATGAATGTACAGTTATGCAATTATGAATGTACAGTTATGCAATTATGAATATACAGTTATAGAATTATGAACACAGAGCTCTGACATTATGAACTTACAATATGAACATATAGTGATAAAATTATGAACATAGAGCTCTAAAATTGTGAACATTGAGCTTCGAAAATTATGAATGTACAGTTACGGAATTATGAATGTACAATTATGGAAGTATGAATGTACAGTTATTGAATTATGAACATAGAGCTCTGACATTATGAACTTACACTTATAAACATATAGAAATAAAATTATGAACATATACTCCTATAACGAAGAGGTCTGAAATTATTTTTTAAAAAAAAATGAAAGATAACAGTGCCTAACGGCACTGTTACCCGTGTCTAGCAGGCATGCTGGACACGGGTCCATAGCATAACGATTGACATATCCAATCATTATTGTGTAGACTATGGTTCGCAATGTGTGGATCATACTACTAAACAATGTACATTTAGTACATAAATAATGTACTTTTAGTATATTAAAAATATACATTGTATTTAAGAAAAATATATTATTTAAGCACTAAAAGTACATTATTTTGTATAATGTACATTTAGTACACGAATAATGTATTTTTTTAATATATTAAAAATATATTTTTTAGTATGGTTCACACATTACTGTGTAGACCATGGTCCACATTATAATTTGCCCTACGTACCCATGCATATGCCACATTGGCAAATTATTATATGGACTCGGATCCAAAGATACACAATTTACATACTAAATGTTCGCAATTTACCTTTTAAAATTCACAATTTGTGATGACCCTGTATTGTATTAATGCATTCTCAAAACTTAAAAACACAATTTAGAATTTTCAAAAAAAAAATAAAAAAAGAAACACAATTTATATTCTAGATGCTCACAATTCTAATACTAAAAATATACTCCGTACAATTTAAGATAAAGGTCCACCTTGCAAGGTGGACCCTAGTCCATTGTAGAACAATTGATGCCACATTCCTCATTAAACATGAATCTCATTTTATATTTACGAGAAAGTCTACTGT